TGGGGGTTACAGATGGGAAATTCCTGGCGCGTCTCAAAGACTGCGCTGGCATTCCAACGCGAGCCGAAGAGGCCCCAGGAAGCCTCAGGAGGCCCCAGGAAGCCTCAGGAGGCGTTCGGAAGTTGCAGAAGCCCTAGCGAAACCCAGGAAACCCCATTAGGCTTCAGGAGGGCCCCCCAGGAGGTTCCAGGAGGCTCCAGGAAGCCCTCGGAAGTGTCAGGGAACCTTGGGGACCCCCAGGAACCCCCAGGATGCCTCAGGAAGCCCCGGGAGGATCCACGAGGCTCTGGGGAAGCCCCGGGAAGCCCCAGGATGTTCCAGAAGACCCTGGGAAACCCCAGGGGGCCCTAGGCGTTCGACGAATTGGCGAGCGATCAATGCGCGCCGCACCTTAGCGGGAGTGCAACTTTCAGACAAAATGCGCGCGGCGCCGAAGCGGGAACGACATTTTGCCCTGTCGCGCGTGACGCGCACCGCGCCCAACTCTCGCCACGCGTTTCGCAAATCCGACGACAAGAAAGTCCTCGCTGAGAAGAAACATGTCCACTTTGCATTAGTTTGATCGGTCGGAAACATCGTGGACTTTGTATTGAGTGTTATCAGTCAGGATGGGAGGGCCCGGATTGACGTCCGCGCGCGATGTGCGCCGCGTCCCGCTCCTGCCACGCAGCATTTCGCATCGTCGACGACAAGACAGGCCATGCCGAGAGAAACAACAATGGTACATATATATATATATATATATATATATATATGTATATCAAAAAATCGTATTGGAGGGCCCGGATTGACGGCCGCGCGCGATGTGCGCCGCGTCCCGCTCCTGCCACGCACTTCGCACCGTCGACGACAAGAAAAGCCATGTTCAGAGAAACACCGTCGACATTGTATTCATTTTTTACAATTCGGATGGGGGGCGGATTGACGGTCGCGCGCGATGTGCGCCGCGTCCTTGTCCTGCTACGCATTTCGCACCGTCGACGACAAGAAGAACCAGATTGACAGAAAAAGCGACGACTTCGTATTGATTTTTTACTACTAGGATGGGAAGGCCTGGAGGGGGCCGGTAACGGCCGGCCAAAGGGGGGAGCAAGAGTATATTCTAATAAGGAATCAAAGTACAGCAAAAAATTGACGGTCGAGCCGACGCGCCCCACCCCCGCGCCCGGGGCACGGAAGGCCAGCGGCCTCAGGCGGGGGGCTTGTCCCAGGCACCGCCCGCCGCCGCCAGCTCCACCGCCGCCGCGCGCCTCGATGTCGAGGGCGGCGCGGGCGGCTGCGAGCTGGGCCTCCGGCTCGCGGCACTCGACGGAGGCCCCTGCCTGGCCCGCTCGGCGGCGTCGTCCGCGGCGGGCAGGCCTGCGGCGCTTTCCGTCGCCTGCGCGGCCTTGCCCTTCTTCCTCGGCCTGTCCTGCCTGCCGATGCCCACCATCTTGTATTTCGTCGCTTCGAGGCCCTCCAGCTTGACCTCGCACTCACCGTGGCCTACGCCCTCGCCACGCAGGTGTCCACCGTAGTAGATGCCCAGCAGCACGCCGCTGCCCTCCAGCTTGCCCTCGCACTCGCAGTGGCCGGCCCCCTCGCCGCGCAGGGGCCCACCGAGGCCGACGTCCTTCATCACGTCGGTGCCCTCCTGCTTGACGCTCGCCGTGGCCTACCCGCTCGCCGCGCAGGGGTCCGACGTAGCCGACGTCGTTCATCACGTCGCTGAAATCGTGCAGCGCGCCGATGCCCTCAAACTTGCCATTTCTCCTGCTGAAGGCCCCGTGGAGATTTTGGCCTGGATCGGGGTGCAGCCTGGACCACTGCCGCCCGTAAAAGGTACAACATTTCCCAGAAGCGGCGCCCCGAGGAGCGGGCCACTGCCGCAAGTAGCAACCCCATCCGCTGCATGCGGCGCCCCGATGGGCGGGCCACTGCCGCTGAGATGCTGCATGGCGCCCGCCAGAGGCGCCCCGAGGAGCGGGCCACTGCCATGGAGAAAAGCCGATCCCTTTGCGGCGCACCGATGAGCGGGCCATTGTCACAAGGCGAAGCCTGCACGGTAGCAGCTTGGGACGCCCCGAGGAGCGGACCACTGCCCCAAGCGGTAGGCAAGTCAACCAAGTCACAGTCATCACTCCTACCCACGCCGAGGCCCTCCAGCTTGCTCTCACCGTCGCAGTGGCCTAAGCCCTCGCCACGCGGGGGCCCGCTGTGGTCGACGTCCTGCTGCCCGTCGATGCTCGCCAGTTTGCTGCCGAGCCGCGCGGTGACGTCGACGCCGTCCACTGCCAGCAGCACGACGCCCCCGTCTTGCCGCCGACACCCTCGACGACCAGCTCCATCAGCGGCCCGCCCGTGAGGACGCAGCGAACGGGCTGCGACACGGACGTCATCACGTCCAACTCGTTTTTCGCGTCCTCGCCGTCCTGGGCGCGGCGGCGAGCGAAGGGCTGCCCCCTCCTCTTCCTGCCTCCAGCGGCGACGAAGTGCCGCGGCGGGTCCAGGACGTAGCACTCGTACTCGCTGACTTCGCCCTTCACCTGGCTGGCCCAGAAAACAACCGGCGAACCCGCGCCGTTCCCGTCGGCCTCCTCCGCGAACACCTCGATTCGCGTGGGCGACGCGAAGGGCCTCGCCGCGGCAACACCGCACACCTGACAGGCTGCCAAGCGCCGCGGCTTCTGCCAGCCGCCCTCACTGGCCTCGTCGACCTCGTCTGCCTGCTGCTGCACCTCGTTCCTCGGAGGCTCGACCGCCGCCGCTGCCGCCTGGACTGACCGCTCGCCCACGGCGCTCAGCTCCGCGCGCAAGCCCGCATTGTCGGCGCGGAGGGCCACGATGGCCCCAAGCGCCTGCGGCGCCTGCGGTTGGCCCTGATCCGCCCACCGGTGGACGACCTCCAGCACCGGCGGCGGGCCCGAGGGCGCCTGCCAGTAGGCCGCCCCGCACGAGCACCAGCGGCCGCCGCAAGGGAGGGCGGGCCCACATCAGCAGATCACTACTTGCCCTACTCCGCCTTACGTAGTGGGGGCTCGGCACGGCACGCGGCGCGGCGGCGAAGCCCGTCGTCAAGAACACCTCGCAAAAGGTGCGGAGCGCGGCCCCAAAAGCGCCGCGGCGCAGTTGAGCCAGAACGATTCTTGGGAGGAGGAGGAGGAGGAGGAGGAGGAGGAGGAGGAGGAGGAGGAGGAAGAGGACGACGACGACGACGACGACGACGACGACGACGATGACGACGACGAAAACGACGACGACGACGACGACGACGAGGTCATGGGCACCCGCGCCGTCACGCCCAGCTCCTGCCGGTCGCCCCCGGGCGCGGCGGCCGAGGCCACGAAGGGGCGGCATGGGCGACGGCGGCCGACGGCGGCGCCCCCGCCGCCCCCCCCCCGACCTCGAGAGGTCACCTGGCTTCGCGCGTCGCAGAGCGAAGCGAGGGCCGGAGTCGTGCACGGTGCTCTGGGGAGCCCTCCGCCGTGGAGGCCGCGGGCGTAGCCGCAGGAGGCCTGCCTTCGAGGGGGCAGGCCCCAAGGGGAGGGAAGAAGGGAGGGGGGGCGGGGCGGCATGCGCGGCGGCGGCCGTTGGCAGCGCCCTCGCCGCCCCCCCAATCTTCCATCGTTAACGGGGCAAGACTTTGCAACAACCGCTTGAGAACAACCTCGCATGACCCCCCTCCGCCCCCTGGCCTTCATATCGAACCAGCGTGGCGTTCCTGGAGACGCGGGGCCGGACAAATCTTGAGGCCAACATCTTGGACTTGCCAATGCTAAGGCCAGGGGTGGAAGGCGGGAATGTGGTTCATTCTAGTTCAGGCGTTGTTGTTGCCACAAATTGTGCACCAACAGTAAGTCACCTGACTTGTCGTGTCGCGCCCCGCCATGCGCGACGCGCGGTTATCTTCGCGCCTTCGCGTCGCCGCCCTGGATCGCGCGTCGCGCCGAAGCGTGGCGGTCCAGGACCGGCGGTGCGATACGCCAAGCACAAGATCCTAACAGCAGTTCGAAGAAACTGCTGGGGAGAACGATCAACATAAGTCTCGGATTTAATACTCCGTGACCTTTTTGTTGCAGAAAAAACGTTCGACCCCGCCCCACCCCCATCGCATCTCAGGAGGGGGGCGGGGGGGCGGCCTGGTCCACAGCATGAGCTCTTTCCCACCTGTGGAGGGCACGCTGGGAGGGCTACCTTACCCGTTCGGTCGGGTTTTGATTGCCATTTTCCCACAACGCCCCTGCCCGAAACACATGGCATGAAGGCAATGGGTACTGAAAGCCTGGGCTCTGGGAGCACCCCCAGGACCAACAGTTCATCCGTAGTCGTTTTGTTGACGGTCCTGGGGCCCCGTGAGGTCCCCTGGAGGCCGAAAATAATGGAACACCTCAAAAGGACCCATTCCAATCTACTCGATGATATTCATTGCGCGTGCTTGCGCCAGCGTGTGCTTGTCCACCGAAGCCCGTCACTACGACGCAGGCTGCGCAAGCAGGGCCGACACGGGCAGCGCACGCAATGGGCCACGGCCCGGAACTTCTGCTTAGCGTGAACTTGTCCTTAGCGCGTCGCCGCGGCGGTCCCAGCGACACGCTGCCATCTGTCTGCAGGCGGACAGCGTGTCGCTCCGCTCCGCGGGGCGGGAGGCTCGGAAAGGCTCGGCACGTTGACGCCTGGACTGCAACGTGGATAGCGTGTCGCGCCGAGGCATGGTAGCCGAACGGCTCGCTGTCCAAGAGTTGCCGACCGCACCACACGTCCGCAGGATCCCTCGATCTGCACTGTGGTGACGTGAGCTCCTCGTCCCCCCCCCCCGTCCGAAGCCCCGAGGATAGCCGCCCTCTCTTTCCGCTATCCAAAAGTTGCCGACCGCACCACACGTCCGCAAGATCCATCGATCTGCACCGTGGCGACGTGAGCTCCTCGTCCCCCCCCGTCCGAAGCCCCGAGGATAGCCGCCCTCTCTTTCGGCGCCCGCACGCCGCTCGCGGCAGGCAGGCGACCAGTCGGCGGACGCGGCGCCCGCGCGGAGGTGCGGCGGGCTGGCGCCGGCCCGGTGGCGGTGCGGGGGGGAGGGAGGGAGGGAGGGAGGGAGGGAGGGAGGGAGGAGGGAGGGAGGGAGGGAGGGAGGAGGAGGAGAAGCAGGGAGAGCGAGGATATGGTCGGAGGATCGCGCCGAGGATCGCGCCCCATCGCCGATGCATCTCCGATGCATCGGCGGTGCATCGGCGACTCGGGCGATGCATCGGCGACGTTAGCATGGAGAGAACCGGGCTCCGCTTGGGGCCACATCGCCGTCGTCGATGCGGTGCGATCCTCCGACTCATCTACTCCGACCCCAGCTGGGAGGCCTCGAGAGGATTACTGTCGAAGCAAGGCGGCAAGTGAGCGCGGGCCAAGGGCACTGAGGACGAAATCACAAGCAACTAGAAGGACCCCTAACCCTGTGGGAGAGGACCGAATTTAGGAGGGCCGAAACCATTACGGATAGGGTTTCTTTCTGCGAGCGTATGAGACCAAACCGCCCAGATATATTACCCCTGATGCGAGGACGGGGACCTCAGTGAGACAACGCCTTCATCGCGTTATTAGGGCGAGGGTATCTTTTGTTCTTGATGACGAAAGGACGGCGAGGACGAGGCAGCAGGCGGGAAGACTCGCCGCAGTCGGCTCCGCCTTCCGGCCCCTCCTCTCGGCGGGCCGTGGCCCGTTTCAGCGCCCGGTCGCCGCCTGTCCGCCCGCGGGTGGCACGACGGGGCGAGGCAGGAGCTCTGAGGAGGGAGAGAGATACGATCGAATAGGGGGGCGCATGCGAACCCTACCCCTACCCCCCCACGATTTCTGAGGGGGAGGGTGGGGTTCACTTCGCTCGGGAGCTCCCGAACGAGGTGAACCCCACCCTCCCCCTCAGAACTCGTGGGGGGGTAGGGGTAGGGTTCACATGTGGCCCCCTATCGAAACGAAGCCCCTCTGCCGAAGGCCCAGGGCCCCATGGAGGCAGCCCGAGCGAAGAGCACTGCAAGGTGGAGAGCCCGAACTCGAAGAACACGGGGGTGCGAGGGGGGGGAAGGAGAGGGTAGGACCGAGCACAAAGACATCTGACCACCTATGTCTTCCTGCAGACCCTCACCTGCCTGCCAACAAAAATAAGCGAAATCCGATTCGAAAACCAAATTTAGAAGAGGAGCCTCCATCCTTGCGGCTGCTGCGACATGTTAAGACGAATATGGACAGCGCTAAGCCGAGAGCCCCATTTTGGAAAGGAGCCACCCTCCACACCTGAAGCTGCAGAATAAGTTTGGAGGGGTGCGCGGCGCTAAGCGCTAAGGCGACAGCCCCACTCTGAAAACGACCCTCCTCCATCCCTGCAGCGGCTTCAAACTTTTAAGACGCACGTGTGCGGCACCAAAACGGGAGCCGCATTTTGAACATTACCCCTATGCATCCGTCGAACTATGGCAAAATGTAATAAGACTTTGCGCGGCGCAGAGGCGAGAACCCCCGTTTGAAGACGACCCCCCATCCTTCCTTGCAACCGTTGCGAATTCCAAGCTCAGCAAACGCAAGAAGAGTTGTTTAGACAGAGAGGGGATGAGAAGGTGAGGAGGGTCGGGAGGAGGGAAGATGAGGAGGAGAAGGTGGGGGTAGAGAAAGAAGACGGAGAAGGTGGAGGAGGAGGAGGAGGAGGAGGAGGAGGATGGGGGAGGAGCAAAGGAGGGGCAAGGGGAGGAAGAGAAAGGGCAGGGGGAGGCGGGGGAGAAGGGGAGGGAGAGCAGGGAGCTGTGGGGGAGCAATGGGAAGCAGGTGGAGAAGGGGAGGGGGAGAAGGGGAGGGGGAGAACGGGAAGGGGCAAGGGAGCAGCGGGGGAGCAGTGGGGGAGCAGTGGGGGAGCAAGCGGGCCTAGCAGGCACAGCGCGGCCCGCGTCCAGTCCGGAGGCGGGCCGGTGGAGGGACCCTCCTCACCCGCTCAGGCGGAGGGCTCGGGCGCCAGCGGCGAGGCGGCAGGGCGAGCGCCGGCCTGGCGGCGGCGGGGAGGGACCCCATGCCTACAACTTGAGCAGGGGCCGGCCGTCCCAGCGCTCCTCAGGCGTACCACGAGTTTTTTTCAGGCCAAAGGTTCTTCGAAGGGCCAATCCAGTGCCCTTAGAGCATGAGGCCAACATGTGAAGACAAGGCTGCCTCAGCCAAACGAGTTCTTAGCGTTTCCCGGGCAAGCCGCAGCAGGTTGGTAGAACATTATTTGGCGGGCCTGGCAGCAAGCCAGATCTCCTCGCCACTGCTTGACCAACGTGATGAGACAACGTGTGTTTAAATAGAACCTGTTTGTTATCATTCGTAATAACGCCCGTGACCGGCCCGCCCACCCCCACCCTTCCCCCCCTGGTCACTTCACGATTCGCGCCGCCGGTGCTCTGGGAATGAGCCACCCTTAGGCGTTGCCAGACGGCCCCGGCGCGAATCGCGAAGTGATCGGCCCCCTCCCTCTCCCCCCTTCCCCCCCCCCGTCACGCCCGTTGCCGGCAGGAGATACAAACGCTCTCCTACTTGTTGAATCTACGGCGGAAGCAGGGGGAGGAATACTGGGAACGAGGAGAGAGGGGGGCCAAGAGAAAACTCAATGGCAATCGAGACGAGGGGAAGAGGAAAAGGCACGAGGCGTAGGCGCGAAGGCTCGTGCCGAACAAAGTCACAACGCTCTGCCCGCCATGCCTCCAGAAGAGCAATCCCTTGAACAACTTAGCCAGGGTTGCCGGACGCAAACCAACCAAGGCTGAGGTGTCTTGTAGTTTTCGGCCTCTGGGGGACCTCGCCTGGCCCTGGTTCCCTCGGAAAACACGACTGAGGATGAAACGCTGGCCCCGGAGAAGAAAGGGTGGGGACTCCCGGGGACCCCGCAGTGAAACAAATCGAGCGCATCTGGCAGACCCCATACGGAGTCGATTGGTCTAGTCTGGACGCTCCCAAGACGCCCTGGGGTAGGCCTATCTAAAGCCCTCAGTAAAAAGGCGACCATGGCACAGGTGGCAGCCGTGAGATCAAGTCTGTGTGGTGGGGGGGATACAGGTAGGAGGTAGGAGGCAGGAGGAGAACGGCCAAGAAAGCTTGGAGCATGCTCCATTTAAAACGAGGGCTCAAGCAAAAATAAGGGAAGGTTGGGAAAACCAAGGCGGTTGTCTTTCCTAGTTCCTGGATTCTGGAAGCAATCGCCGGGCCCTGTGTCCGTCAGAGAAGAGCTCAGGGTGAGAAGCCAGATCTGGGGAAAGGGTGGGGGCTCCCAGGTACCCCGCATTGACCAACATTCGAGACGGTGGGTCTCTGGGACAGGCGCCGCAAGTCGGCGAGGAGCACCGAAGGGCGCCAACAGTACACCCACACTGGCCCTGGCCAGGCCCGCCTGGGAACCGGATCAGTGTGTGGGTGTATTGTTGGCGCTGTACGAGAGCAGGTTCGAGGAAGGGATATACAGGAGCAAGGTGTCTGAAGAGGGTTGGTGAGGGATCGAGTGATCGAGGAGGTTTACGGTCGCGGCGCCAGCGGCGAGCGAGGAGCAGGTACGAGGATCGACTTGTTTTCAAGAGGACTGAAAATGGATTGGAGAGGTCTGGTGACGCAGGAGGGCGGGCAGAGTCAGCGGGGCAGCTGGCGCACTGTAGACGAAGGGTCGGTGGCGTTCAAGGGACCCTTTGACGACTTGGATGGCTGCGCCGCCTCGCTGTTCCCCCTCCTTGCTCGCCGCCAGAAGGTTGAGAGTAAGGGGGGAGGAGCGGGAAACCGAGAGGGGGAGGGGGAATAGTGGTAAAGATGGGCCTGGGAGGAGGATTGAAGATGATTGGGAAGTGGAGGAGGAACAGATGGGGAAGTGGAGGAGGCACACCATGGCGCATACCTGGGAAACTACGTAATTCCCCAAAAAGGTGCTTGAATTGAGCTGAGAAGCTTGTTAAACAAAAACACTGGATTCTGAAGCTTGATTGGTGCGACGGTCGGTTCCGGTGCCGGGAGTTTGCTTCCTCCGGCGGTATCCTACAGTGCCTGCGCTTGGATTCCAAGAGATTGCTTGCCTTGGCGATCTGAGATGGTGCCTGCGCTTAGGCTCCAAGTTTGTATTCGGCTCGACAGAGTCCAAGTTCCCATGCTTTCAAGGAATGTCTTGGTTCGGATGTTCTGGTCATTGCGGGACCTGCTTCGTTCAAGAAGCATGTTTGTTTTCCACCGTGCTCCGTGTGGCGCTGCTGCGTGGCCTTTCGTACCAGACGAGCCGACACAGCTTTGTTTCTCCTAGCGGCGTGGCTCTAGCTCCTTTTCTCACAACAAGCATCCTATGCGACGCCCTCATCGATAAGAACCTACGCGCTAACCTCCAATGACAAAGGTAGCAGCCGCATGCCTAGGGCGTGTTGACTTGAAAGCAGTCTTCGAGGGCTGACGCTTGACAGCCCCAGCATCGACAAAAGGGCGAGCGGGTGCTTGCACGCAAGAGAGTTCTTACACCTGGTATGAGGTACTAGCCCTGAATGTCGGTCTGGCGATTCCGTTGCCACCGTAACCGTGCAGTCGCCGCCTCGTCGCCACCCGTCGTCTGGGCCTGAATGTCGGCGTGACGGCTCCGTTGCCGCCGACGCCGCCTTGTCGCCGCCTCGTCGACGCCCGCCGTCGGGGACAAAATGTAGGTATGGCTGTTCTGTTGCCGCCGACGCCACCCCCTCGCCGCCTCGCATCGAACTTATCCACCCCCCCTCGCCGCCTCGCATCGATTCTTTAATTTTTTGGGTCGCAGAACCCCCCCCCCCACCTTTGGGGCGTCGTCGTTTTCAGGAAGTATCAAGCGGCTCGTTTCTTCTTTCAGAAGGCGATGTTGAAAGCAGAGCCAGCGGGTGCTCCATCATCCCCACCTTGTGAGGAGCTTTTCGGGGAGCCCAAGGAGCTAGACTGGCCCAGACCTCTCGAAGACGATCCACTTACCCTCCGGTGCCATGGCATGCTGTGCGGTGTTGTGTTCTGCGCGGCTGTGCGATGCCATGCTTTGCATTGCAGTGCTGTGGGATACAATGATTCACTGCGCAATGCCACGCCATGCTATGGCATGCTGCGCTCTGCCGAGCTCTTCTACGCCATGCCACGCCATGCCGTGCTCTACCATGCATCGCGTACCCTCCCGAGATCGTTGCCCTGCTCGACATCCGAATGTGCGAATAATGAGGATATCTACGCCATGGTAAGGGATGGGAGGGGGGGTAGGACGTCAGATATGACGCGAGCGCACCTAGCTTGCCTCCTTCCCCTCCTTCCCCTCCCCTCCCCCTCCCCTCCCCCTTCCCTCCATCCCCTCTCCCCCACCCTGGCGGTTGTCGACTGCGGCGGACGGGGGGGGGAGGGCGGGCGGCCCCGGTGCTCCGAGAAGGGGGGGGGCAGGACGCCGAGGGGGGACCCGAAGCAGGCGGCAGAAAAACGCTCTGAAGCGTTTTGGCGCCCACGGGTGGTGCAGAGGGGGGCGGAGGCGGGGAGCGGGGGGGAGACACTGCACCGAAGCGTTCACTATAGTCCGAAGACGGTGAACACCCCCCTGGGCCCCTGCGCCCCAGACGGCGGATGAGGTGAGGGCCCCGCCAGGGACGGGGATGGATCAGGAAAGGGTCCTCCGAAGCGCAGAGCGCAGGCCGCAAAAGAAGGGGGTGGGTCGGGGGGAAAAGAGCCCTGCGGAGGAGGGACGATTAGAGGAAGGCGGGGTAGAGGAATGAAGTCTGTGGGTGTGTCTTTGGGCCCTGTTGGGTCCGCCGATGCCTCCAGAGACCTCTGCCGGAACCTCTGCGGGGAGGGGGAAGCGATGAGGGGGACCCAGCCGACCTCTGAGAGAGGAGGCCTGAGGTGAGGGAAGGGGAGGAACATCGGGAGAGGGACCGGGGGGTCCCCGTCATTTGCAGGGAGCCCCCAGGGGCCTGCTAGGGGTCCCTCACAAGACCTAAAGAGCCCTGGGGGCCCCAACATGGCGCGAACGCCTGGGGAAACCTTGGGCCAGAGATGCATGTGGCAACACCTGATCTGGGATGCTTGCGCAGAAGGGATGGCGCCCGTGCTTCCCCTTCCCCTGGGTAAACGTATTATCCTGAGATATTGTTCCATTGTCCAAGACCCCAAAAACGCTCGTGGGGCATAACAAGGAAGAACCGGCCAACCTGATGTTTTCGAACTGACAGATATCTGGAGACGCCGATTCCAGACTCCTCCTCCTCCTCCTCTTCCTCCTCCTCCTCCTCATCAGCATCATCAGCATCAGCAGCATCATCACCACCACCATCATTATCAGCATCATCATAATGATAATCATCATCACCATAATCATCATCATCATCAGCAGCAGCATCATCATCCTCATAATAATACCATCATCATCAACATCATCCACCTCGTCATCCTCCCTTTTCGTCCTGCGCTGCTGCACAACGAGTGCCGACGGCGGGCACGTCGCCAGTCTCCCCTCCAGCTGGATCTGAGAAGTGCCAGCATCATTCGGTGTGTATTTTTGCGGGCAGCCACTGCTGTCCTCCAGGGGGTCCTGAGGTGCCTCGTGCAGCACTGTGACAAGGGACGTTCAACCAAATCGGCCCATGGATCTCTCCCCGAGCCTTTCCTGACTAGGATGTCATGGAAAAGCCAGCCATGGCGACGAGGGCAGCCGATGAGGCCCAAACAGACAATAGCATCAATTCGCAAATCAATGAGCAATTTCTAAATCGATTCAAGCTGAGACAATTGCTGTTCACTTGGTATGTCGCTATGAGGGGAGCAACCTTGAATCCCTTGGCTGCGTCGACATCAGCCAAGAACTCAAAGGATTGGGCACCAGACTACTGAATTGGAAACAGGACGTAGCAGAAGCAGAGGGGGATACGACGATACAACTACCCAAACCACTGGGGGATGAAGATCGGAACCAGGAAGGTGGAGATTTGTTACAGACGTACGTGGCAAGTCTATCCTCATAGCGAACCAGATTCCCAGGAAATCCCTCACATACAAGGCAGGACAGCAGGGATTAGGATAATATCGAGGAACATGGATGTGTGTTACATTGATGCATATGTTTCACCGGGACATGGGAAGACGTATCAGGAGATTGCCACACGGATGACGGACTGGAATGAACATGCTACAGTCTTACGGGTAGAACAGCACGAGTGAACATCAACCGCCAGTTCGGTCTAAATAGAGCCACGGACGGATCCATGTGCAAGCATCTGTGTACATGTATATACGCACGTACACATATATAAGAAGCAGGGGACACAGTAGGAACAACCAGCAACAACATAGAACATAGAAACGGAGCGTGCTTCCGATCTGTGGCCACGACTTACTAAGACATAAGGCCCACCTGCTACGGAACGACAGGGGCTACTAGCAAAATCAAGCATATAGCTATACCAACGGCCGCCCTGCCTGTTGTGGAAAGATTCGGCGTGACCCTTCAGACTGCGGCCTAGAGGCTGCACCTGATAAAAACAAGAGGACACAGGGACCATGTGCCGGTGTGGCTGGTGCTTGATATCACTACGAAGGGCCCTTCGACAATCAGAAAAAAAGACGGAGCCGCAACTAGACCGCGACCGTAACTAGACCGCGACCGCAGACGACACGACCTCTTGGGGAAAGAAATCGAAGAGAGTACAACCGAGTCAACGTGGACAGTGTGGAGCGGTGAAGCAAGAAACATCCTGGACGAATGCTTCGGACAGGGCAAACAAGTGATGGACGACGCCACCGCTGTAATTCGAGATCGGAAGATGGCATTGCTGCGGAGGCGGAGAGGGCAGAGAGAAAAAGAGAGAAGCTGGAAGAAGGCATCTTCGAGGGAGAGTTTCAAGAGCTAGAGGAGAACCTTGCGACTACGACGGCGCTGCTCAAACAGCTCAGGGAAGACGCAGAGAAAACGAGAAGAGTTAAGTTGGTCCAGTGTACCTGGAATACCCATCAAAGAAACTAACCCAGCATAACGCAGAAATCGAGAATACATAGCCAACGACACGGGAGAGGACCAAAACAACTGCTCCAGTCCTCAGCAAACGGCCACTCGGACCAGGAAACTTTGATCTTGGAGCTCCAGAGTTATCCACGGGGTAGCGGGATGGCTGCGCAAAATACGGATATGACCGAATTTGACGACCACAACCGTTCTCAGTTCAATGTGCAGGTCCCATTGCCGATAGATGCAGAACTCAAGGGCCGCATGGGAGGGCACAAACAGTGGATGCTAAAACAACTGCAGCAGGGCGGTCAAGCGAAGAGCTGAGTCGAGATAGTGGCCTAAATGGAACTGGTTTGGATGATTCTTGATCCCCAAGTATACCTCGAGCATCCCGAGAAGCTCAGACAGCACATAGAGGAGATAATATAAGAACAGCAGAAAAAAGACAGGATGAAGAGGACGTTTCCGCGTACCAACCACCTTTCAAATACAAGCTGGGAAAAGTGCTTGTGACGATGGGACGGGCTAGTGGAGAGATTCTGGGGCAACAAGAAGGAACCATGGACGGGATGGAAATGGAAGCATGTGTGGAGACACGCTATTTCCTTGGAAGCCAGAAAAAAAACCAGGACAAGCTACGGCGTCAATTGGAGGCGCAGCTTGAGGACCTTACGAATTTCGAAAAAGACTGGACGACTTACTACGGATGTGCCGACGAGTGGGAACGACACCGCGGGCGTGGCACATACCAATTTCTTTTTGTGCGGACAAGAACAGAAGAAAAGAAGGGAGTTGCGGGAAGAGGGATCTGCAATCTGCATGCGTAGGACTCGATGGTGATGGCCTGAGATGCCCCCAAGTCGGCTCAAGGGAGACTCGAGGACGGACTCGTAGGACACGAGGACGACGGCCCAAGTCAGCCCCAAGAGCGCCTCAGTCCCCCCAAGACGGCTCAAGGGGTTCGCCTGGGTGTTAAAGGGGATCGCCTCAAGGTGGGCCGCGGGTGCGCCGTCATGGCCTCTCCGCGGGATGGTGCCACCGCGCGCGGCGGCGTCCAGGCGGCGCGGGTGCGCCCACAGCACCGCTGTGGACGTGCGGCCGCCTGGTCAGCAAGGCTTCGGCTTCATCCTGAAGATCACCCTGATCGTGGTCTGCGTGCACCTGCGCATGTATTACGGGGATTACTTGGTCAAGAGTTCCGTTCTGGGGTCCCTGGAGGCGGCCCCATCGAAGGTGCCCTGGAGCCCACCTCCCTCCAGGACCGTGTCGGCTCCCTCCCGGACTGCGTCGACGTGGAGGCGATTCTCACCTTCGACGGCGACGGCGACGGTGCTGGGGTCGTCGGCAGGCGCCCTGCCGGGAGATACCCGCTGCCCCAGTGTTTCGCTTTCGGGCCGTCGCAAGAGTCCCTCTGCCCCGCGCCGGCGCCAGTGAAGGCGGGCCCCGTGCGGCTTTTCTGGCACGCTCGCCGCCGCGGGTGCCTGTTACTGGCCATTGTATTGTTCTTAGTTTCTGAGGCTTAGGATGCTTCTGGTCATAACGGGAGGCCTCCGGATGAGGATTCCTTGCAGGAGGATGCGGCAACCTTCTCCGTCAGTTTCATGCCCGCGTTCAACATGGGCTACCCGATTTGCTGATTGGCATTCGGGGGGGTGACCACTCTGGAGGCGACGGAGCTCATGGTGCGGCTCTTTGACCGGTTTCGCTCCGGGCGAAGAGCCGCACCATGAGCTCCGAGATGAGCGTCGAGATGAGCCTGACACGGGTCAAAGCGAGCATCTGCACGGACCCACAGGACGAGGTGGAGAAGCAAGAGAACATCATTATCATCATCATCAGCATCATCAGCATCATCATCAAGCTGGAAGGCCAGCTCGAGATCATGAGCGAGAGGGCACGTGCATCCTGACGACGAGGGCGCTACCTGGCCGCCACCGTACCAGAGAGACTGCAGCTCGAGGCACGCCGACGATCTGACCAACGACGACCCCAAGATGGACTGCAAGTGGAGACCAGGGACCAAAACCCTCGCCAAGAAAGGCAACAAAAAGACGGAGAAAGAGGACATCACCCCCAAGGAGCTCGAAGAGTGGATCGCGAAGGGGTGGAAACACAGGCCCGGCAGGCCGCCTTGTAATGCGAACGAGCCGAGTTTATGGATCGCCTACGGCTGGATCCCAGGCCTCAAGAAAGAAGAAAGCCAACTTGAACTCAGAGGAGCTCCCAAAGAGCAAGTCGCCGCTGTGAGCACCATGGGACGCCATGAAAGATAACACGGGAGGTAAAGGACCGGTAACAGACAAGGAGACGGCCCAGTCCGCCCCCCCCACCAGCCCCCCCACACGCTCAGGATCACAGAGCTGGCCATCCCTCTCAAGGACACGAGGGAGGACCAGCAGGACCAGCATGAGAACAAAAAACGCCATGCCCAACACTTACAGCCCCCAGAAGCCCAGAGCCACCAGTGAGGGCCAATCGGCCTCAAACAACTACAGATCTACGATTGCGTACGCACAAATTCGACGATGCGACTGGAGAGCGGGAAACACTATCATACGCCCCCGCGTGTTCTCCCCAGGTTCGAGAGCACCCCCCTGCTCGCGGTCTCGGCACTCGGGCGGGGGGGTCGACCCCTTGGGAGCGTGGATTCTCAAGCTCCAGGTGTCGACCGTGGGACCCCTTGCAGGGTGACGGGGTTGCAACAATGGACCCATGCACTAAACGACGCGACTCCAGCACCCAACACTTGCACTGCAAGTGAGGCCGGGCTTTATAGCAATAGTCTTAAGCGTGTCTACGTTTCAGCAACTGTGAGTGTTAAGTTTTGTTGCCAGGGTTCGCCCTGGCCCCTCCCTTCTTCCTCCAAGGCCTGGTTGCCTGTCGTGCTTTTCCCTGCCGCCCCCCTCCCGTCCTCATCGGGTCCTTTCTGCGGTCGTCCCCCTCTCCTCTCCTTCTCGCGCAGCGCCCCGTTCGCCTGTGGGCGCTCCGCTTTTTCCTCTTCCTCACTCCCCTGTCGCGTCCTTCTCCCTCCTGCTCCTCCGCTGGCACTTCCTCCCCCCCCCCCTCCCCCTGCCCATGGCCAGGGTGGAACTCCCCGGAGGGGTTGGGGGGGCGGAGGGGGGGGGGGTCGGGGCTGCGAGCTTTCTCGCGCGCGGGGCTCGCGGCCCAGCCAGCTTCGAGGCTGGACCGTCCCTGCCGCCCCGCCCCCCCCCCGCCGCCGCCGAGGAGGCTGGGGATAGAGGGCGCGGGGGGAAACCCACTGCCACTTGGTGCCTCATGCCTGGGGCAAAGGGGGTTCGGGGCAAGCCCCCAGAACCCATGCCCTCGCACTGCCGTCTCTCATGAGAAGCTCAGAGCCCCCCGAGCGTGGCCCACCGTCCGTCCACAGCGGTCACAAGGGGCGCCCCAGGCAGGCCGTGGGTCAGAACCCAGCGGCCCTGCACCCACACCATCTCGCAGGGATACAGAAGGTCGCCTGCCCAGCTCTGTGGTGGATGGCATCGATCTCGTCCCCGAAGCGCCTTTCCCTTTTTTGACCTGCTTGCTCCTCCCCCATCCCTCCTCCTGCCTCTGATCCTCCCCTTCCCTCCTCATCCTCATCCTCCTCCCCGACCCTCCTCCACCTCCCATCTCCAGCTCCCTCCTCCCCCTCCTGCCTTCTCCTTCTTCCTCTTCCTCCTCCTCCTCCTCCTCCTCCTCCTTCTCCTCCTCCTCACCACCACCATCATCATCCTCCTTTCCCCCTCCCCCCTCCCTCCTGTTACCCGTCCTCCTGCCTCCTCTTCCCCCCCGACCGTCACGGCCCCGAGGGCGCCGCCTGTCATCGCATTGCAGCACTGCCTGACGCTGAAGCCCGTAGCCCTCTTCAGCTGCCAACACGCGTAGCACTCGCCGGGCGAGCGTGCGCGCGCGCGCCGGCGTCGCGAGGGAGCGCCGCCGCCGTCGTCGCCGCCGGCCTCGTCGCCGTCGTCGCGGTCCTGGTGGTGGCCGTAGTCCTGATCGTGGTGGTGGTCTTCGTCGTCCTCTTGATTGTCGTTATCGTGGTCGTGGTGGTCGTCGTGGACGTCTTTGTCGCTCTCGTCGTCGTCGTCCTCGTCGCCGGCGAGAACGGCAAAGCGAGCGCCCGCCCGGCTGGCTTTCCACTGGATGTGGCTGGCTCTGTCGGACAAGCGACAGCTGGGGCCGGCGCTCACTGGCCGTGCTACCAACAGGAACGCCAAGGAGGGAACGGCGGGGCTTCCTGGGCCACGGCGGGCCGCGGCCAGGAACAGGCTCCCCGATCTGGATCAGCGGAACGGCCCCCGAGAAGGGGCCCAGGAGGCCTCGCAAAAAGCCCAAGGAGCCTGGACAAGCCTGGAAGAGGCCGCTCCCCCAGGCCTCCCAAAGAGGCCCCAGCAGGCTCCACAACAGGCGCAGAAGAAGAGGACAAGTCGGCAGCAGCTATGCGGCGCAGGGGGAGGAGGAGGAGGAGGAGGAGGAGGAGGAGGAGGAGGAGGAGGAGGAGGAGGAGGAGGAGGAGGAGGAGGAGGAGGCACCACGACGGGAAGAGGCCAACAACGCCAGCGAAGCCCGAAGCCGCACAGCTCTTCTGCCGGGGGTCGGCGGAAAGGCCGAAGCCTCCTCAATGAACGACCGTCGTGGCTGGCCTGGCCACGGTGGGCCTCGGCCAGGGAGGAGCTCCCCGGTCTCTGAGCGGCCCGAAAAACCGACCTCCCCCAAGAGGAGGAGGAGGAGGAGGAGGAGGAGGAGGAGGAGGAGGAGGAGGAGGAGGAGGAGGAGGAGGAGGAGGAGGAGGAGTAGACGTACCCTGAAGGCGGACTCCCGATGACCGCACTAGACGCGAAGCGCCAAACGCGCAGCACCAGTGATCCGCTCGGCTTCTGTATATGAGAGGTGCGCCTCCGGAGGCACAGAATCTTTGGCTTTGTGGTAAATGTGGAAGGCAAGGACGGTGGCCTCGACAGCCTGGAGGCGCGTTATCTCACAGTCTTCTGTGCCGTACTCGGTCGGGGCACCGAGGCCGAGCCAGAGGAGGGGGTCCGAAGGAAAGACGAGTCGCATCCAGCTTAAGGCGACATGGTGGCGCATCCGAGGGCACATGAAATAGTGAGCTATCGCATCAGGGCCTCCACATCCAAAGATGCAGTCACGGGTGCGCCGCGAAACATGCATGCGTGCACTTGTGGTCCAGCCTCCGCACACGCTCTTGGTGTACGCCCACCGCCACGCAGGCCTGACTTGCTCAAGACATTCACGCACAAGAGCCCATCTCGTATCAAGAGCTGGTGGACATGTAAACTGCCACTTAGTGAGCCTGCGAGCGATCGTGAGAAACAATCTATCAGGAAACACAGCGTGCATGAGCGCAGTGCCTACAACTCTCTGAAGCTTGGGGGGGCGAACCTCCTGGAGAGCACTGCGAATCTCTCGGCGCCCCTCAGCCCGGGCATCGTCCCAAACACGAACCGAGAAGGGGAAGAGAGGGCGACGCAAGCCGTTACGACGACGCTGGACGACACGAGGGGTGGAGGCGGTGAGCTCCTGGAAATACTGCACAATCGCTTGGCCATGCTTCCAGCACGGGGCGCACCATTCCCCTAGAGCCCAGCGGGGGGCGGAGAGGGGGAGCGATCCACAAGCGGCATCGGCGGCCTGCTGCAACTTGTCGTAGGCAGCGTGCCAGTCGGGCACGGTGTGGGTCAATGTGCGCCACGCTGCCGAGACACCCAGGAGCATGAGCGATTTCGGCGTCGAGCCGATCCACTGCAACGACAACAAATCGGCGCGAGAAAACGTATTGGGGGGAAGACGGAGCAGCTTGTGAAGAGCGAGAGCCTCACGCGAGAGAGCAAGAGGGGACATGGGGAAGAATTGGGCGAGATAGCCGAGCGTGCTAACAGCATACGTGTTATACTGATACACCAGGAGCGGCGCGGCAGCACGAGACGAGGGGAGCTCGATCGCCCGGTGCCACCACTTTTGGGACGCGACGTGCCACTGGTCAAGAAGGCCTCCACCGGGGCCAAACTGGACACCGAGATACGCTGTAGCCGGCTGAACATCAAATGAACAGAACGTAGGGACCTCAGATTGGAGCCACAGCTTGATTCGCGACACAAGCTCGGACGTACATTCAGTCCAGAGCGGCACGATGCAACATTTGGCATGCTGTAGAGACAAGTGTGCATGGCGCTCGATGGCACTAAAATGCGGGGCTAATCGTGCGAGCGTGCGGAGCTGGGGCAGGAGGGTGCCAATGTCGTCGGCACAACCTCCTACTTCTCCTGGGATGTCTCCTGGCGGGGGTTGCTCAACAGCCTCAGACAACAACCTCACCACAGGGTCGAAAATGAGCGCCCAGACCGATCCCGAAAGGGGGCAGCCCTGGAGAACCCCGCTGCACAAATAAAACATAAAGTGGAGCTCTCCACCGAATCGTCCAAAGCCTCGGGGGCAAAAGTAGAGGGCACGAAGGAGGTTGAGGTAGCCTGGAGGAACGCCGTGCCGGCGAAGAACTTCGAAGAGCCACTGGTGGGCGACCGATGGGAATGCCGCAGCAATGTCAAATGAAACAAAACAGGGCATGTTGAGGTCACCGCCTGGAGCGATGCTAAGAGCACGTGCTGAGGCATCCATGTGCACAATGTTGCGGATGAAGTTTCTTCCGGTGACAAAGCCACGCTGATTGCCATGCACTCGCTTGGCAACAACCTGACGTAGCTGATGATTGGCAGCGCTGGCGACGATTTTGGTGTCAGTGTTGCGCAGCGAGAGAGGGCGGACTTTGCTCGGCTGACGCACGCAATCGAATACGTCTTCTGGATTGTTGCCTTTCGGCAAGAACGCAAAGACAGAGTCGTTCAAATCGAGGGGCACAGGGTCGCCACGATAAAGCTGCAAGGATAGATCATGCAGTATATCGAGTTGCTCAGGTATCGCGGCCCAGGCTTGGTAGGTGAACCCGTCAGGTCCAGGAGCTGAGTTACGGGCACGCCGCATGGCCACCTCGAGGCCCGCGCGCGTCGGGGTCGGAAGCGAAACGAAGCCGGAGCCATCCGCAAACACACCCGAGCCATCGAAAACACGGTCTAAATAACTGCGGAGCCTGTCGGGATCAACTCGCCGGGCTTTAAAGACCTCCCCCCAATGGTCCGACAAGGCACTGCGAATATCTGCGCTCGAGCGCACAACGCCGTTACGACACTCCCCCGCGGTCGACTCCGGTCGGAACCCTTGGAGGATGAGGGCGCTGCCACGGGGCCTCCAGAGCTTGGCACGTTTCTGGATGGCTCTCTGCTGCCGGCGTGCCTCTGCAGCAGTTTGGGCCTGTCCAGCCGCATTCGCACGTTGGGCCAGGGCGGCAGCTTGCGACCGTCGGCGCTCAAGTGCGGCAGCACTCATCTCACGGAAAAGATCTCGGAACGCATCGGGTTCGAGGAGAGAGAGCAAGGAGGAGGAGGAGAGGGCGAGAAATCGAGCACCAAACTCGGTGGTGGCCATCAGGGTGGCTCCTGTCCGAAGGTCTTGTCTCCAAACCGCGCGAGCAATTGCCCGCAGCGTGGCAAGACGGGCCTCGCATGCGTTCGTATCATTTGACGTGAGCGGGAGGCGCTGGAGCTCATTACGGGTCTCCCGTGCAGCCTCCCACATATATTGCTTCATATACTGCCAGCGGAGGTCCGCTGGAAGGTGTGAGATATCGACAGCATGCAACAATGCGGACAGTTTATCGCGATAGCGATAATCAGAAAAAATGAAATCAGGAATCCGAAGCTCATTTGCTGACCCCGTGCCTCGATTCTGGAACGAGAGCGAAACCAACGCGTGGTCGCTCAGACGGGCGTCCGAAAGCTAGCAAGGGTCAACATGAACTTCCATGATGGCATCAACCTCGAGCATGAATCCCGTGGGAGTCCCAAGGAAGACACGATCAAGAGCGACAGCTGTGAAATGTTGCCTGTCAAATCTCGTGGGCAACTCAGCGCTGATCTCAGTGGCAGCTAACATGAGCGGGCGCCAGAAGGCAGAAAGAGGGGACACGTGAGTGTCCACAGCAAGGCGCGCAGAGGCTGGCTCAGGATTGAGGTAGCTGACGGAGGCCGTGTCGGCGATGTTGAAATCCCCCAGGGCCACGAAGGTGTGCATCAACGGGTCCACGCGACACCAACGGAGGAGCTCATGCCATCGATCCCGTATCTTCGGAAGCGCCGCGGCTGGCAGCTCGTAGTTGTGAACGCTCATGATTGCCATGGAGCACTGCGTGAGCGGATGTGTGACTTGAAGGATCTGAACTCGTCCAGGGGCGAGAACTTCGTGAGACAGGAGAGGCCGTTCAGATGCAGGGCGTTGAAGTTCATGTGACGCCGACACCCAGGGGAGCAAGATGGCGATACCCCCAGCACCCGGACGATCCGTGCCAGAATGAAACAACTTGTAGTGGAATGGAGATGCTGCGACAAGTACTTGCAATTGTTCGGTTGTGCCGTGCGTTTCCTGCACCAGGATAGCAGCACGATCTCGCATGAAGGGGAAGAGCTTGCTGAACTTCTCACGACGACGCCGAGGGTCTACGCACGCCAACCCACGAGCGTTCCAGGAAACAACTCTCGCAGGGCGAGCGCCGTTACGACAGTTGGCCTGCCACTCCCATGGCGTCCACCTGGCATTAAAGCCCCCACCCATCAGCCGAAGTATCCACTGTGTGAGAGAGACGAGCAAACGTCTCTGCAACGGGGCCCTTGTCGATCGTGTACTTGTCGACCGTGGGGCCGTGCCAGACAAATTGGGTGGGGTCGTCGACACCGTGGACCGTGAGCACCACCAGCGGAATGTTATCGACCAGGACCACACCTTTGCTTCGCTGGCATGTGAAGCGCAACTGTGGGTGCCGCTCCGAAAGCACACGCTCTGCCTTCTTCGTGTGGATCTCCAGCCTGACCGTCTTGGGGGCTTTGTCGGGGTTGATGTAGATCGGCGTCTGAGCGCCTTGTGTATTCTGTGCAACAAAGTTGCGCCATCCGTTACGTGTGCGGAGGCCTTGTGCCAGAGCCAGCGCCAAGGGACGCGCCACCTCATCACCACCTGTTGTGCGTATGAAGAACTTGCGAGACGGAACCTGCCCATCGAGCTCCACCTGGTCCATCGTGAGGCCCGACTCGGTGACCCAGGAGTGGATGGCGCGGCGGATCTCCTGCGGTGCGATCGCCGACGGGGCGCCGACCGTGAAGAGCGTGGGCTCCGCCTGCCTCTCCCAGTTGGCCAGCCGCGCCGTGTCAAAAGAGGAGGCGGTCGTTTCGGCCAGAGCGATTGTGCGCTCGAGCCTGGCAACCGTGTCGCGGATCCGATCCTGCTCTTTCTCTTGAGCAACCTGGCGTTTCTGAATATCTGCAACTGTGTGGCTCTGCTGGTCGATGCGCGTGTTGACCTGTCGCACCTGCTGGAAGCAGAGCCGCATGCTAGACTGGAAGTCGTCCTGGGCTTTCTTGAGAGTGGTCGTGCAGACCTCTTGGAAACGCGAAGTGGCCTCATCGAGCTGCTTATCGAACATTGACTGCATCTGCTTGTCGAAGTCCTCTTGGCTGGGGATCTGACCTCCCCATGGGTTTGTACCACCCGGGCGGGCAGGAAGACTGCCTGATGCCTGCCATGGGTCGGCTCGCTGGAGCACGTCTTCGCTGGGGGCAGCAGCAGCGGCGGCACCGGCACCGGCACCGGCTGCAGGCTGGCTGGCCTGGCATGGGAACGTTGGTGCCGTGTCCAGCCTTGCCATGAGGTCCTGCTGTTCCATGGTGTCCATGGTGGCCGCGGCGGCGGCCGCGCGAGCGCCGGGCGCGCTGCCACGGGCTGTGCCCCGCGGGCGCTCCGAGCGGGCGATCTGGCCGCCGTCATCGCGATGGCCACGCTGTCGACGGCGGCGCCGTGGCGGCTGCGAGAGGCCACCGCTGCGACCGCTGCGGCTGTGATCAGCAGCCGCGTCATCTGAGCTCCGCGAGCTGCCCATAGACGACGGCATGGCATGCGCGCCCGAGACAGCTGGTGGAGCGATTATATGGAGCCTGCGGGGTTGAGCCGCAGGGATCGGTGGAAATTGCTGAAGAGCACGGGGGCTTGAGCCAAAATGGCTTGAGCCAAAATGGCTACGGAGGAGGAGGAGGAGGAGGAGGAGGAGGAGAGAGGAGGGAGGAGGGAGGAGGGAGGAGGGAGGAGGGAGGAGGGAGGCGGCTTTCCCCGAGGCAGCGCCGCGTCCCACCCCCAGCAGCGCCCCTGCCGGCTACACGCAAGAGTGACCCTAGGCAAGAGTGCCCTCCGGTGCGCGGACGAGGGGGCGCAAGGTGGCCCAATCTGAGCGCGCAGTCAGCCATCGTTGCATCGCGCTGAGCGATCGGGGGGACCACTCCAGCAGGCTCACCCCGGCGAAGGACCACTCTCACGTGCACGCCGACCCCAGCGCCGCCCCCGGCGCGTCGGGCGCGCCAGAGGGAGGGCGGGCCGGGCGCCGACCCGGGAAGTCCGCGCGGACCTCCCGTGAACTGCGTCCGTGTCGATCCGCTGCTTCCTCCAGCCGCCCTCCCCTCTCCGTACTTCCACGGTGCTAACCTGCACTAGGCGCAACTTCAGCGAGTCTTGGAAACAGCAGGGCCGTGTTTGTTTGGTCAATGATGCTAATTCGCATCATGTGCAAACTATTCGTGGTTCTTGGAAACGGCAGCGCGATGCTTGTTTAGCAAGTTCGCGTTGCCGTTTTTTGTTTGTTTTCCCCGTCTGGCACAATTTTGTTTCCGGTCCCGTCGCCATTGCTTTCCCGGTGCAAGCTCTGGCTCCAATCCCGGAGCCGCTTTTTGCTCCGGTTCGACGAGCCGTCTTCTTATTTTCATTATCAGGATTAAGATTCCTGGAAACGCTAAAACAAGCCCTGCCGGTTCCAAAGACCACTGAGTTTTGGGGTGCCTCGAACGCGGAGCTCGGGGGCCTTCGGACGTGGAGCTCGGGGCACGTACCTCCTGCCCGACTTGCGCCCCCAGGGGAGATTTCTCCCCAGATGACTGTGCTCTGGCACTGCCTGCCCTGAGGATCGAGCTCCGCCTGCCTCAACGTGCAAGAAATAGACGACGACACAGTTCCATAACCACAAACTTTCAGAGCTCCGCGCGGGGCATACACAGAAACGGCGCAGCATAGACTGTCGCCCCCCTGGCGGCGTCTCTGGCGCCGACCCTGGCGCGCTCCCCGCGCTAGAACGGGAACGGGGGCCCCATCGCAGAGCCATCATTACGCTAAGGATCCACGCCGATCCAAGATTGTGCGGGAATCCAAAGCCCCAGCGCGGAACCACGCCAAGCTCCCAAAGTAGTACGCATGTTCAGGGAGCTGATGACGCAGCAGAAATCCACGCCGAGCTCCAAACTGATTGTGATTACGCAACTGCCTTCTGCTGTTCAGGATGGATTCGCACAGCGTGCAGTCGGAGAGAGCCGGCCGGCGGAGGGCACCATGTACAGGACGGGTATCAGCTGGGCAAGGTAGGCGAAGTAGCCGTAGCCCTGAGCCGCAGAAGAACGCGACACTGGGGGGGGGGGGGGGGGGGGGGGGACACCCGCGTCAAGAGATGCGAATCCTCATGGAAGCATGGCGCACGAGAAGCCCTGCTGCCGCTGAGCCCCTGACGAGCATGCCACTTCTCGGGCCTCGGCATGCATTGAGCTTCCCAGCCTGCCTGCTGACAGCAAGCTAGCAGCACTGCGCTGGATCGCCAAATGCCTAGCTTTCAATCCACAAGGGCAATTGTGGTCGCGCCTCGCGAAGCGCGAATAGCTTCGCGATCTTGCGTCGCCCCTGAGTGAAAGAAAGGAAGGACGAGGAGACTGAAGATCAGGAATTGCGACCCGCGAGCCGCGAATAACTCCACGCCATCGTGGCGGCACTTAGATCCACGGCCTGCCCCTCTGGCCTCCTGGCTGCTCGAGTCCCCCGCCCCCTGCCTGGCCTCCGTGTCCTCGCCGGGGCCCGCGAAGGCACACGCACCGCTGATGACGAGGCTGATGCACCAGAGGAAGTAACCTGGCGAGCGCAGCGCGGAGCAGGCGTCAGGGGCGTCCAGCAAAGGGCCAACCCAGAGGGGGGGTCCCAAATCATGGCCCGAGGCATGTGCGCGGACGAGGGCGGGACCAGGGGGCGTGTTGAAATTGGAAATGGGGGCATGACATCCAGGGAATTACCATGGTCTCGGCCATCATCTCCACCCCCCTTTTGACGTCCGGGTTATCCGACGCGCGAACCAGGAAGTACCCCTGACCAAGCCCCAACCCCGATGATTCGAGAATGGCTGGACGCCCGAGTTATCCGGAATAAATCTGGTCTGGGGCAACTCCGTTTGGGGCCCCCGAAGCACGAATCAGGAGCTAACCCTGACCAGCCCAAGCCCTGTTCGCTGACTCGGGGCTCTGACCCCTAGCCATCCCCCGTGGAGGTTGTATCGCAGTGCCCTCAACCATGAGATTGTGCACCACTTCAACGTTTTCCTTACGTCCTGGAGAGCTGCGTGCTCGCCTCTCTAGAAGCCTTGCTCTCGCCGCTGCAATCCCGCGGTTCCTCTTAGTCCTCCTCATCCGTCTCTTCAGCCCTCTCCCTCTCATCCCCCTCCAACCATCCTCCCCACCTTTTCTCTCCCTCCTGTTCCGCTGTCCCTGCGCCACCAGCTGTACTCCCTACCTCCTCTTCGTCAGTTACCTCCCCCTCCTTCTCACACTGATTTCTTCCCCATGCACTGGTGGTGGCGATAGAGGTAGCGGTGGTACAAACAGCAGCAGTGGACGCAATCGGTGTCGTTGGTGGTGCGATGGTGTCGATTGGAGAGGGGGCGTCTCGACTGCCACCATGCCAACCGCCGCCATCCCCCAGGGGCACCACGCATAACGGTGTACCAGTTGCGGCAGTGCGATGGCGGCGGTGGTGGTGTAACCAGCCGCGCGCGCACATGCATGGCTGGGTTGTGGCGAGGGCACTGGGGGGCACCGCCACCGCCACAAACATGACCGCCACCACCGCCACCACCTCCCCACCGAGAACGGGCGGTGGTGGTGGCAGCGGATAAGTGATGATGGCGAGGCGGTTCCGGTGACGAAGGGGGTGGTGGCGGCGGGTAGCTGCACCGCCACTGAAGGCGCGCGTGGACTTGATTGGTAGCGTTGGCAGGATGGCGTCGCATCCGCCACCACGGCCACCATCCTTGACCACGAACAGGTGGTGGCGGTGGCGGCTGGGCTGGATGGTGGCGATGGTAGAGGCTTTGGTGATCGGTGATGGTAGCAATAACAACAGAAGCATTCGCAACTGCAGAATTGTACCCCCTGCTCCTGTATCTCCTGTTCTGCTGGTTGCCATTTTCCACCGCGCCGCCAACCGTCACCATCCCCAAAGCGTACCAAGTTCTGGCAATGTGCTAAGTGTCATGGAATGATGTAGGTGGCGGTGGTGACGGCGGAGGCGGCGGAACCAGACGCACGCGTACATGTATGGCTTGGTGGCGGTGGCGCTGGGGGGCACCGCCACCGCCACAAACATGACCGCCACCACCGCCACCACCTTCCCACCGAGAACGGGCGGTGGTGGTGGCAGCGGATATGCGATGATGGCGAGGCGGTTGCGGTGACGAAGTGGGGTGGTGGCGGCGGGTAGCTGCACGGTCGCTGAAGGCGCGCGTGGACTTGAATGGTGGCGCTGGCAGGATGGCGTCGCATCCGCCACCGCGGCCACCATCCTTGACCACGAAAGGGTAGTGGCGGTGGCGGTTGGGTTGGGTGGTGGCGATGGTAGCGGTAGTGGCCACGGTAGCAGCAACAGAAGAAGCGTTAGTCACTGCACAGCTTTACCCTCCCTGCTCTGATCTCTCTTCTCTGCGGGCCATCAACCTCCCTCGGTGGAGGTTTGGCTGTAGCGAGGGGGTCGCATCCACCGCCGCAAGAAGCACCGCCACGACTTGCCCAGAGGGAATGTGGACGTGATGGGGTCGGGCGCGCGGCGTCGACAATGGCGCCTGCGGTGGTCACATCCGCCAATCAAGTGTCAACCAACATTGGGACTGGTGGTATTGGAAGGGCTTGCAAGCGCGCCATCATTTCCATTCCTGGCTCAGACAGGGCGGTGGCGGCGGCGGTGGCGCACCGCTGATGGTGGTGTAATGGTTCAAGCGGCCGCCGTGGTGTAGAACCGCCACTAACAACCAATGTAGGAAAGAACGGTTGTGTTCGGCAGCCGTACAGGTATCACTCCGTAGAATGTGTGCGTGGGTGGGTGGGTGGGTGGATGGGTGGGTGGGTGGGTGGGTGGTGGTGGCGGTGGTGGTGGTGGTGGTGGTGGTGATGGTGGCGGCGGTGGTGTGTGTGTGTGTGTGGATGGACGGTGGCATTTGGGGCACCTCCACCAACGCCACCATCGCAACCGCCGCGACCATCACCTTTGGCCCAAAACGGGGTGGTGGCGGTGGTGGCGGTGTGGTCTCGGTTGTGGAGTAGGGCTGGCGGTGGTGGTACCGGTGGGGGCGCGACTGCATCTTCTGGAGCATGAATAGAAGCACTCGAAAAGGAAAATGGCGGCGGCGGTGGCGGCGGCGGTGGCGGCGGCAAGAAGAGCCGAACCCGCGACCACAACCACCGCCGCCAACCCCTTGACCAACGAAGCGTAGTGGCGGCGGCAGCAGAACAATATTGCTGCTGGGAACATATGAAGAACCCCACGGGATTGCCAGCCGATTCCTGTCGTCAAGGCTCTGAGAAGAATTCCTGTCGTGATGGGGTTCGGTCGACTTCCTGGTGTCCCAGGTGTGTTTCGACATCCTTTTGTGCAGGAATTCAATCGGTTCTGCTGTGTCAAAGGATGCAATGTAAAATCACGCGCTGGCGTTTCCAAACAGATCCCTTTACGTATTCGATCACAACAGAATTCATTTTGCACACGGCTGGGTTGGAACGCCTCTTGTAGACGACTTCGACCAACTTTCCTCAGCACTCGAAGTTCAATCACGACTGGGTGATGTTGGCAATTTCAATCTGATTCGCTTTTGCATTGGATTACATAGGGATTTCTTGTAGCAGATTTCAACGAGATTCCGGTTGCAGAAGGTCCAATCGGATTTCTTGTGTCGTCGGTTTTCGATGGGGCTATGGACGCCACTCAAACGCCTCCCATGCTTTCTACAAAGCTGCGCGTTCGTCTGTCCAGAGGCTATGTTCTCGCCACCGCAGTCCCGCGGTTCCTCTCGTTCCCCTTCATCCGTTTCGTCGGCCCTCTCCCTCCTCCCACCCAGCCATTCTCTCCATTGTTCTCTCTCTCCCTCTCTCTCTCTCCTGTTCCGTTTTCCTTGCGTCGCCAGTTGTGTTCCATTCCTCCTTTTCGTCTGTCTCCCCCCCTCCTTCCCCCCCCCCCCGTGTTCCGCATGCATTGGTGGTGGCAGAAGAGGCGGTGGCGGCACAAACAGCAGCAGTGGACGCATTCGCTGACGTTGGCGGAGCAATGGTGGCGATTGGAGAGATGGCGCCTCGACTACCACAACGCCTACCACCATCCCCCTGATGCATGACATCGTAGTTGTAAACCAATTGCGGCGGTGCGATGGCGGCATGGAACCAGTCGCACGCGCACCTATCTGGCATGGTGGCGGTGAGGGCACCGGGGGGGAGGCACCGCAACCGCCGAACCCTAACCACTACCGGCGCCACCACCCCTCGCCGAGAATGGGTGCTGGTGGCGGTGGCAGCGGAGAAATGATGATGGCGAGGCAGTTTTGGCGACGAGGGGGGTGGTGGCGGCGGGTAGCTGCACCACCAGTGAAAGCACTCCTAGACTTGAGTGGTGGCGTTGGCAGGACGGCGTCGCATCCGCCACCGCGGTCGCCATCCTTGACCACGAAAGGGTGGTGGCGGTGGCGCTTGGGCAGGATGGTGGCGATGGTTGAGGTACTGGCGATGGCAACAGCCACACCAGAAGCGCCCGCAACTCCACAGCTTTACCCCCCCTGCACCTATCTGTCTTGTCTGATGGTTACCACCTTCGACCACCGCGCCAGCAGCCGCCATCCCCAAGGCGCACCAAGTTTTAGCGGCGTGCTGGTTGCGGCGGCGATATGTAGGTAATGGCGGTGGCGGTGGCGGCGGCGAACCAGCCGTGCCCGTACATGCGTGGCTTGGTCGCGGTGGCAGTGAGCGCTAACAGAATTCAGTGTTGTCCAGAATCCACAAAAATTCCTTTCGCGACGGATTTCGCTAGGATTTCTTTCTAACGGCTTTCAATCGGATTCCTTTTGTACTGGCGTTCAATCGGATCCCTTTTGGAACTGCTTTCAATAGAATTACTGCGCCACGGCTTTCAATCGGATTCCTTCTGTAACAGCTTTCAATCGGATTCCGTGTATAACGGCGTTCGACCGAATTTCTTTTGTAACGGCTTTCGCCTAAATTTCTGTTGTAACGGCTTTGAGTCGGACTCCTTTTGTAACGGCTTTCAACAGGATTCCTTTTTTGTAACAGCTGTCAGTCGGATTCCATTTTTCCAACGGCTTGTAATACAATTCCGTTTGTAACGGCTTTCAACCGGATTCCTTTTGCAACGGCTTTCAGAAATATTCCTTTTCTAGAACATGTCGATGGGATTCCTGTTTGCAGCGAAGTTCAAACAGTTTCATGTCGTAGCGACCGTCAATGGGGCTCATCATTTACTGGCTTTGCATGTGACCCCTTGTGTAATTGTGTTCAAGCAGATTCCTTTTGCAACGGCTTCCAATAGCACTCCTTTTGAAAAGGCGTTCAACAAGATTCCTTGTGCAACGGCTTTCAACCAGAACCCGTCTGCACAAACTTTCAATGAGATTCCTTCTGCAGCAACTGTCAATCCAATTCCGCTGTGAAACGATTTTCACACATATTCCTTGTGCAACGGATTTCCGTAATATTCGTTTGGTACGGCCTTCAATGGGATTTCTTCTAAAACGGCTTTCAACCAGTTTCTTCTGTAACGGGTTTCGATCGGATTCCTTTGGTAATGGCAGTTAATGGGATTCCTATTCA